AACAGCTTCCACTCCACTGTTCGAACGGGAGTTACAGACACTACGGTTGGCGGAGTAATACCCGGACTTCGTCTCCAGAGCGACCAGCGCCCCCTAGCGCCGTGGAGGAACAGATGCAGCTCGGAAGAGCCAAACTCACCCCGGAGGAGCGTCAGCGCCGCCTACGGGAGCGGCGGTGTTTCTACTGCGGCCAGCAGGGTCATGTTCTGGCAGCCTGTCCGGCAAAAGATCAGGCTCATCAGCAGGAAGAGGGACGCTGGTGAGCCGAATGACTTCTTTCAACCCTTCCTCGAGAAGACTGACTCAGGTATAAATGAAACTGAATGATAAAACTGTGACTCAGGATGCATTAATTGATTCTGGGGCTGATGAGAGCTTGTTAGACTGGGAGCTGGCTAAAGAGTTGAACTTAAACATTGTCCTTTTAGATCAGCCATTAGAGGCTAGCGCGTTGGATGGCCGCCTTTTATGTACAGTTACTCATCGCACGGAACCCATAGAAATTGTCATAGATCAGGAGCACCGTGAGCATATTAGCTTTCATTTATTTAACTCAGCTCAACAGCCTCTCATGTTGGGTTACCCTTGGCTTGTTAAACATAACCCTCACATGGACTGGCTTACAGGAAAGGTTAAGGGGTGGGGGAGTGAGTGCTCTCGTTCATGTTTAGCCTCTCATACAGTTTCGAGTGGACCACACAGATCTGGGAACTTTAAACAGGCGTCAGATAGGGACAGTGTCACTTCTTCTAAACATTCTGACTTTCCTGACTTATCCAAAGTGCCAGAGTGTTACCTTGACATTAAGGAGGTGTTTAACAAAACACGAGCTACTTCCTTGCCTCCCCATAGACCGTATGATTGCCCCATAGACCTTCTCTCGGGCTCTACTATCCCCAAAGGACGGTTGTATTCTCTCTCTGGTACTGAAAGGGAGGCCATGGAAGAGTATATCGGATCATCACTCAAAGCTGGCTTGATTCGGCCATCATCATCCCCAGCAGCAGCAGGTTTCTTTTTTGTAGGGAAAAAGGACGATTCATTAAGGCCCTGTATTGATTACAGTCCACTTAATCAGATCACAGTTAAGAACAGATATCCCCTTCCACTCATCTCTACGGCATTCGATCTGTTACAGGGAGCCAAGATATTTACCAAGCTTGACTTAAGGAATGCATATCATCTTGTGCGCATCCGGGAGGGGGATGAGTGGAAAACAGGTTTCAATACACCTACGGGACATTACGAATATTTGGTGATGCCTTTTGGACTTTGCAATGCACCTGCTGTTTTCCAAGCCCTCATTAATAATGTGTTAAGAGATTTCCTGAATGTTTTTTGTTTTGTTTTTATTTTGTGATAAAAGCGTCAGCTAAATGCAATGTAATGTAATGTAATAAGAAAACTCATGTTAACCATGTTCACCTTGTTCTTCAGAGACTCCTGGCTAACCATTTGTTTGTAAAAGCCGAAAAATGCGAGTTTCATGTGAACTCTGTGGCATTTTTGGGCTTTGTGATTTCCCCTAACAAGGTGGAAATGGACCCAGCTAAGGTCAGTGACGTGGCTAATTGGCCCACGCCAGACTCTAGAAAGAAGGTTCAGCAATTCCTGGGGTTTGCTAACTTTTACAGACGGTTCATACGCAATTTCAGTGCTATTGCCTCTCCTCTCCATGCCCTTACCTCTCCCCATGTTCAGTTTGTGTGGAATCCACAGGCAGAGAAATCTTTCCTGGAACTGAAGAGGAGGTTCACCACAGCTCCCATCCTGACTGTACCTGATCGCCACCGACAGTTTGTGGTGGAAGTGGACGCCTCCAATGACGGCGTTGGAGCTATACTGTCCCAGAGGTCAGCGGGGGACAACAAGCTTCATCCATGTGCATATCTCTCCCGTAAGCTATCTTCTGCTGAGAGGAATTACGACGTGGGAAATCGGGAACTGTTGGCTGTGAAGATTGCTTTGGAGGAGTGGCGGCACTGGTTGGAGGGAGCGGAGCAGGATTTCCTGGTCTGGACGGATCATAAAAACCTGCAATACATCAGGAAGGTCAAATGTCTGAACTCTAGGCAGGCCAGATGGGCTTTGTTCTTTAATAGATTTAGGTTCACTCTGTCATATCGACCTGGTTCGCAGAATGGAAAGCCTGATGCACTCTCCAGGATGTTTGATCCTGAGCCAGTCCCCAAGAGTCCAGACCCCATTCTGCGGCCAGACCGAGTGATAGGGAGTGTGACCTGGCCCATTGAAGCCAAGGTCAAACAGGAAAACGTTGGAAATCCTGTCCCAAGAGGGTGTCCTCAGAATCGCTTGTTTGTGCCGGAGCAACTTCGATCTCAAGTTGTTCATTGGGCCCATACGTCTGTACTTACCTGTCATCCTGGAAACAAAAGGACACTTTTCATGGTGAGACACAGATTCTGGTGGCCGGGGATGTGGAAGGATGTTGCAGAATATGTGGCAGCGTGCCCTGTGTGCGCCAGGAACAAAACTTCTCGGCAAGCGGCGGCAGGTCTTCTCCAACCTCTGCCCATTCCCAACAGACTCACAGTCTCACATTGCGTTGGATTTTGTTACAGGATTACCAATATCGGCAGGTAATACCACCATACTCACTGTGGTTGATAGTTTTTCTAAAATGGTACACTTTGTCGCCATGCCCAAGTTACCTAATGCCAAAGAAACAGCAGAGGCCATGTTGTCCCATGTGTTCAGGATCCATGGTTTTCCCAGTGATGTCATTTCAGACCGAGGCCCACAGTTCGTGTCACGTTTTTGGAAGGAGTTTTGTCGCCTAGGCAAATGGAGTTTGCCTGAACAAGTCAGGAGTGAAATTGTTTATCTCTAACATATTCAACTGCCTGCGTCATCAATCTGTTCCCTCTGCCAAGGACAAGCGGCAAGAGGAATCAAAACAGGAGAAAGACACAACACATCACGCAGAAAACCCTGAAGAATTATCACTGCACCCGCCTGAGGAATGTTCTGATTATGGGAGACCTATGAGACAAATGGAGGAGTCTCCACTGCCCGTCACCCCCCCCCCCCCCCCCCTGTCAACGCCTTTGAGGATACTCCGTTCACCCTTTCACCCTCGCCCACCCTCCTGGAGATCGATGAACACACAAAGGAGATACAGAGGGTTGGCACCGATTCCTTCCTGGAGTTCAAAGACCAAACGAAGGCGATACGCAGGGCTGGCACCATGTCCTTTACCCCCGCTCCTCAACGACGCCCACCAAAATCACCGCGGAGACGCGCACCATCTCCCCCGTCCTCATCACCGCGCCTACGTCAACCACCTCCCCCCCCTGGCAACATGTCCCCTACCCCCGCACCATCTCGCCCGTCTCCATCACCGTGCCTACGTCGACCACCTCCCCTCCCTTCGAGGGGGCATCTGCAGTCTCCGAAGCCTGATAAGGATGTGTGTGTACAAAACACAACAAACTCTTACTGATATGTGATGGGTCCAGGCTCAAGGGCGTATGGCACTCTCAACTCTTTCCAGGACATGTCGGGGCCCTGCCTGCCAGTAGCTTTGCCGATATCTGTGTTGATAGGTAATAGATTAAGAGCGGTGAATCATAGAAACAGGAAGCGCTCAAACGTTTGTGTGAGTGTATCTAATTTAACAGTGATTCCATGTCAGCCACAGCTTGTTACAAAAAACATGACTGATAGTGTGTTTAACAAACTTAAACTAGCTTTATTAAATGTCAGGTCTTTGGCAGGAAAAACATTTTTAATCAATGATTTTATCACTGAGCACAATCTCGATTTTATGTTTTTAACAGAAACTTGGATTGAACAAAATAACAGTGCAGCTGTTCTTATCGAATCAACCCCTCCCAACTTTAGTTTTATGAGTCAGGAAAGAATGCATAAGAAAGGGGGTGGAGTTGCTATTCTGTTCAATGATTCCCTTCAATGCAGGAAGACATCTTATGGAAACTTTGATTCTTTTGAATATGTGGCCCTTCGGCTGAAATGCTCCTCTCGAGCTCTGTTCCTAAATATCTATAGACCACCCAAATACTGTGCAAGCTTTTTTGATGACTTTACTGAACTGCTGTCTATAGTGTGTATTGACTTTGACCGTCTAGTCATTGTTAGTGATTTTAACATCCATGTTGACAACCCCCAGGACAGAGGGGCTAAAGAACTATTTTGTGTTCTTGATAGCTATGGACTGACTCAGCATGTGACGGAGCCCACGCACAATAAGGGGCACACTCTGGACTTAATTATCTCAAAGGGTGTGAATATCTCTAAGGTTGTGGTGACTGATGTTGCACTCTCTGACCATTCCTGTGTTTTCTTTGAGAGCTCTATTTCTGTTCACAAAAATGTTCAAAAAGAGGTAACCACAAAGCGATATTTAACTGAAAACACTAGGGAAATGTTTACTCAGAATTTGTCTTCCACACTTGCCCCTGCCAACATCTCAGTAAATGAGCTAGTAGATCATTTTAATTCAAAAATTAAAAATGTTATAGATGCCATTGCTCCAACTAGGTTAAAGGAAGTGTCTGGCAAGAAAATATCTCCATGGAGAAAGGCCATGACCGTGAAAACAGAAAAAAGAGAATGTCGAAAAGCTGAACGCAGGTGGCGAAAAACAAATCTCCAGGTTCACTTTGAAATCTATAAAGAGAGACTTGGCCTTTATAATTTGGAATTGAAAAACGCACGACAATCTTTCTTCTCTGACATCATTACCAAAAACAAAAACAACGCACGTGCCTTGTTTGCTACCGTCGACAGACTAACTAACCCCCCAGTGTCAGTAGCCTCTGAATTTCTATCCACCAGGGCGTGCAATGATTTTACCTCCTTCTTCACTGACAAAATTCAGAAAATCAGACAAGCAGTCAGTGCCTCTGCATCAGGAACAGCAAATGTGTTGTCCCTATCTCCACTTAACATCAATTCAGACATCATGACACAATTCCATCAGATTAATGATAAAAACCTAGAGGACATGTTGGAGTTTATTGAAGGATAAAAGTGTTTTCATAATGTATATACTATTTTCATTAATGTGTTTTCATTAATGTATTCTCATAAAATGTGTTCTCATAAAATGTGTTATGTAGCAACAGAGAACAGTCTGTTCTCTGTCAAATGGCACACATACACACACACACAGATTCACATGACTGACAGTCACAAGATTCACACACTAACAAATAAGGCGTTGGTCAACACCACATGATTGTCTCATGTTACTGTTTGTTGAAATAAAAAGACTGCACTGAGAGAAGGCGAGTGAGAGTTGGTTCTCCTAGCTGAGAGTTGGTTAAGGAGTGGACATGGCATATGTCACTCGCCGATTCGCCTAGCTGGGAGTTGGTTAAGGAGTTGACATGGCATGTCACTCGCTGACTCTCCTTGCAGCAAGTAAACTTGAAACATGAGTACTGTTATCTTTGTTCACTGGGTTCTGGTTATTGAACCGAGCTGGGGTTTACCCTTACAAAGTAATATAGATACCCCACATTAATTGGTCCTTCGAGCCGGATTCCAATACATCGTGACGGGAAGGAGGAGGGAAAAGACACGCCGCAAGTCTGTCGACAGCCGGGATCATCAGCCGACCCCGAGAAAGACCCGGGACGCAGAATTCGTGGCCGGGCCGGTGCTTATATGTCCAACCTCCCTCATCCTAGGCACGATTGACGGAATCCAACCGGACCAGTGACCACAGATAACGGGTAAGATAAAAGTTGATATACATGGTTTCTCCGCCATTTAAGGAGGTAGAGAAAGGTTACTCCGCCATTAAGGAGGTTGATAAAAAGTTGATATACATGGTTTCTCCGCCATTTAAGGAGGTAGAGAATGGTTTCTCCGCCATTAAGGAGATTGAGAAAGGTTACTCCGCCATTTAAGGAGGTAGAGAAAGGCTACTCCGCCTAGGAGGAGGATTGACGTGCCTTTGGGTACACTTATGAGTGATTGAGTGAAAGCAGTGTGTAAAAGTGTCACCAAGTGGAATCAGCGCACAGAGTGGAAACCTAACGGTGATAACAAAAACTCTGTGGTCTGTTGAAGTACACTAGTGGTGAATTAGGAATTAGGTTCTGACCGGCACGTTGTCCAGTAGGAACACCAAGCAGTAAGAGAATTAAGCGACAAATTGAGAGCAGCAACAGCTGGAACAACACAAGGCAAGAAAAGAAAGAAGTTAGAAGCTCAACTGCGGGTTGCAGCTTTATGGGCTGAACAAGCCCATAAAAGGACAGGTGGAGCAGAAGAAGGTATGATAGCAGCGGCTGTTTCAGTGAAAGCAGACGAGGAGACAGGGCGTTCAGGGTCAGTTGACGCTGTATGCCGCGAGAAAGAGAGAGCGATAGTGGAAGAACACAAAGCGCAGGAACAAAGAATACAAAGAAAGCCCCCCTTTTTTCTTCACAGCTTTCCTCTAATTGCTGAAGCAGCAGCCCGAAGTATGACTGCTTGTGCTTCTTCTCAAAATGCCTCAAAAATGGCTGCTGAGCGTTGAATTTAAAACAAGGAGTGAATAATCAACGACTGGTCTGAAGTTGGAGTGAATAACATTGAAAATTAATAGATCAATGTGTCGTAGATATTTAAATAAATAAGAAACTATAATTTGTCGTTTTTAGCATAGTTTTTGTGGGATGCAGTTACGTCACATTGTGGTTTTCATGAGAAGTTTTGAGAACTGATTGTTACTATTGCATTGCATTGTGAATTTTGTGCTATTTGTCATTAGGTAGTTTTTGTAATATCATTAGTAGACATTAATTGTGTTTATGAAGAAAGAGTAAGTAAACAGGAGGGATCTGTTCATGTTTAAACATGACAGAGGTGCTGCACGAGGCTAAAAGCACACTGTTGGCTAAACACAGAGAGGTGATTGATGAGAGAAGCTTGTGCAGGAGCAGCTGCAGGGCACAGAGAGAGAGAGACAGGAGAAGTAGATGTTTTGAAGAGTTCAGAGAGAGTACAACTTATATAAAGTTAACTACTAGTCTGAAGAATGTTATATTGTTTTGTGAGTAAAACATGAAGTAAAAATATATCTACTAGATATAACAACAACATGCAGCAACCCAGATCAAAGAAAAAATACATAAGAAAGCGTCAGCATCAGCTTTCTTCATAGGAGAAGATGGGGAAGAAAATCAGATTTTCTTTGTGGGACCAGGACAGGGGAAAGGCGGGTTTAACAGAGGACGAGGGAATGATAGAGGAACAGGCAGAGGCAGAGGAGGAGGCAGAAACGCAGAAGGCACATTTCTCTGCTACAGGTGCGGAAAGGAGGGGCACATGGCGAGAGACTGTGAGGAACAGAGACCACAGAACAAAGAAGGGGGACAAAAGGGACAGTACAAAGACGAAAGACATGGCCCCCCCCTTCACATAACCTACATAGTTATGACAACTGACTAGACGTAGAAAAGGAAGAAGAGGACGTCCACACACATCACATTGACCTTTCTGAAGTATTCAGAATAAACAACAAGATAGTACTCCCTGTTAGTCTCTATTAAACAGCAGCTCATTTGAGTCATGGGCCGTGCCATGTCTCAACAGGAGGGGATGGTGACAATAATAAATGAACACTTCCATACATACAACTATATTACATTTTCTAAAAACTTTTGTAGAGCCTGTGTAGTATGTTGCAGACACAAGGCTCAAGGCAATGAGCGACCACAGAGAGGAAAGTAGAAACATGCATGAGAATCACACCCACGGCAAAAGGGTTGTCTCCCTTTGAGATCATAACAGGAAGGCAATTCAGACTACCAATCACAGACGAGGTGAGGGAGGAGGATGATGCTGAGGCAGAGACTACATTAGCTGAATGGATGAGCAGACTCTTCAGAAGTAATGAGATAGCTTGAACAAATAACCTGCCAGACATTTCTACTCCCTTACAGGATACTCGAGTGCAGACTGGTGACCAGGTCCTCGTGAAGGTGATTAAGAGGAAGCATTGGCACTGTCCACGGTGGGACGGTCCCTACACGGTACTGCTGACAACACCGACTGCACTAAAAATCGCCGAAAGAACTACGTGGATACATCAGAGCCACTGCAAAAAGATAATACCTCTCCAACTTAACGACGGATAAGTGGTGGAAGTCCGGCTACAAAGGGTGGTGTTTCATTAGGAAATACTGGTCTCAACCCCGGTGAAGAAAACAACAGAACCACTATCACAACTAGACTATGTTGGGAGAGGTGTTGTGTGTAGTGACCCTGCTGGGTCTGACGCTAATGACTATAAAGACACTGTAACCAGCTAGTAATTATGAAAAACAGGAGGGAATGTTAGAGTTTATTGAAGGATAAAAGTGTTTTCATAATGTATATATTATTTTCATTAATGTGTTTTCATTAATGTATTCTCATAAAATGTGTTCTCATAAAATGTGTTATGTAGCAACAGAGAACAGTCTGTTCTCTGTCAAATGGCACACATACACACACACACAGATTCACATGACTGACAGTCACAAGATTCACACACTAACAAATAAGGCATTGGTCAACACCACATGATTGTCTCATGTTACTGTTTGTTGAAATAAAAAGACTGCACTGAGAGAAGGCGAGTGAGAGTTGGTTCTCCTAGCTGAGAGTTGGTTAAGGAGTGGACATGGCATATGTCACTCGCCGATTCTCCTAGCTGGGAGTTGGTTAAGGAGTTGACTTGGCATGTCACTCGCTGACTCTCCTTGCAGCAAGTAAACTTGAAACATGAGTACTGTTATCTTTGTTCACTGGGTTCTGGTTATTGAACCGAGCTGGGGTTTACCCTTACAAAGTAATATAGATACCCCACAGGACATTATTCAACTTCTGAAATCCTCCTCTTGCTGCCTTGATATTATTCCAACAGGATTTTTCAAAGATGTTTTGCCTTGCATGGCCTCAGATCTACTTCATATAGTAAACAAGTCTTTTCACTCAGGTATTTTTCCACAGGCCCTAAAAACTGCAGTCATTAAACCGCTCTTAAAAAAGAATAATCTAGATGCTTCAGTAATGAACAATTACAGGCCCATATCAAACCTCCCATTTCTAGGTAAAATCATTGAAAAAGTTGTTTTTCAACAGTTGAGTAATTTCTTGCATTTAAATAACTGTTTTGATGTGTTCCAGTCAGGCTTTCGTCCAAACCACAGCACTGAGACTGCTCTTGTAAAGGTCTTTAATGACATCCACTTAAACACAGACAGTGGCAGAACTTCAGTGTTAGTATTATTATATCTCAGTGCTGCGTTTGACACTGTTGACCACAGCATATTACTAGACCGACTGGAAAACTGGGTGGGACTTTCGGAAACAGTTCTGAATTGGTTTGAATCCTACTTAAAGGACAGAAACAACTTTGTTTCTATAGGTAAATACACATCTGAGTTGACAAATATGACATGTGGGGTTCCTCAAGGCTCCATCTTGGGGCCTCTTCTCTTTAACATCTACATGCTACCACTGGCTCAGATAATGAAGAACAACAAAATAAGTTACCATAGCTATGCAGATGACACACAAATGTACGTAACAATTTCACCAGGAGACTATGCTCCAATTCAAACACTGAGTAAGTGTATTGAACAAATCAATGACTGGATGTGTCAGAACTTTCTCCAATTAAACAAAGATAAAACTGAGGTAATGGTTTTTGGAGCCAAGTCAGAACGTATAAAAGTTAGCGCTGAGCTTCAGTCTGCAATGTTCAAAACAACAGATAAAGCCAGAAATCTAGGTGTAGTCATGGACTCTGACCTGAGTTTCAACAGTCACATTAAAACTGTTACTAAATCAGCCTACTATCACCTAAAGAATATATCTAGGATTAAAAGACTAATGTCACAGCAGGATTTGGAAAAACTTGTCCATGCTTTTATCTTCAGTAGACTCGACTACTGCAATGGTGTCTTCACAGGTCTCACTAAAAAATCTATTAGAAAGCTGCAGCTAATTCAGAACGCTGCTGCTCGAGTCCTCACTAACACTAAGAAAGTGGATCACATCACTCCAGTTCTGAAGTCTTTACACTGGCTTCCTGTGTGTCAAATAATATATTTCAAAATACTGCTGCTGGTTTATAAAGCACTGAATGGTTTAGGCCCAAAATACATTTCTGACCTCCTGCTAAATTATGAACCATCCAGATCTCTCAGGTCTTCAGAGACTGGTCAGCTATCTGTCCCCAGAGTCAGAACTAAACATGGTAAAGCAGCGTTCAGTTATTATGCTCCAAATATCTGGAACAAACTCCCAGAAACCTGCAGGTCCGCTACAACTCTGACTACTTTTAAATCCAGGCTGAAGACTTTTCTTTTTGTCGCTGCTTTTAATTGAACTATTCATATCTTAGACTGCACTGTAACTTTTATCCATGTACTTTTTTTTCTTTTAATATTTAATTGACTGCACTGTAACTTTTATCCATGTATTTTTTCTTTTAATGTTTATTTTATTAGACTGATTTTAAATGCCATTTTCTTAATCTCTTTCATTTTTTGTAAAGCACTTTGAATTGCCTTGTGTTGAAAAGTGCTATATAAATAAACTTGCCTTGCCTTGCCTAATCCAAGCCACTGTTAGTCTGACCTCCGGATACCACCCACAGTCGAATGGACAAGCGGAGAGGATGAATCAGGATTTGGAGACCTGTTTGAGATGTCTAGCGTCGGAGAAACCTACCACCTGGAGTAAGAATCTGATTTGGGTGGAGTATGCGCACAACACTTTACCCACATCAGCCACGGGTATCTCCCCATTTCAATGTGTCCATGGGTACCAACCTCCATTGTTTCCGGAGCTCGAGAAGGAGGTCACCGTACCATCAGCCCATGCTCTGGTTCGCCACTGCCGTCGGGTCTGGGCGGGAGTTCACCATATGTTCCAGAGGAGTACCGTTCGCATGAAGGTATTGGCCGACCGGAAACGACGTCCAGCCCCCAAGTACCAGGCTGGACAACGAGTGTGGCTATCTACCAAGGATCTTCCTCTCCATGTCGCCTCCAGGAAGCTGCCTCCCCGGTTCGTTGGTCCTTTTCCCATAGCCAAAGTGATTAACCCTGTTGCTGTCCGTTTATATCTTCCAAAGTCCATCAAGGTCCACCCCACGTTTCATGTGAGCAAGTTGAAACCGGTCAAAGAGAGCAGACTGGTCCCCGCCTCCACACCCCCTCCACCTCCCCGGATTGTCGATGGAGGTCAAGTGTACACTGTGGACAAAATACTGTCTGAAAGGAAGAGGGGCAGAGGTAGACAGTTCTTGGTCGACTGGGTAGGGTATGGATTAGAGGAGAGGTGTTGGATCCCAGGCAACTTCATTGTGGACAAGACCTTTATATCTGACTTCGATAGAGAACAGTCTCAGGCTTCAGGGACGTCTGAGTATGGAACTCCACACTTTATTATCAAAGAACATTCAGACAGGTTAAGACATTAGCTTATTACTTGTTGTGAAGCTAGCATGAATGACCCTAGCTTCCGGTGCCCTTTCTAACGGGTCCGTGTTGCAACACAATAACCAGAGGTGAATTATGTCCCATCACGTGGCACCACACTATATGCTTTCCGCTCTGCGTGGTTCCGGGCTAGAGCCTGATTTAGCTCTGGTTCTTCCTGTTTCCACCGCAGAGGAACCGGCTCTAAGTACCGAAAACCGGTTCTAGCTGGCCCCATTCGGCTGCCCAGCCAGTACCAATACTTGACACTTACGTCGGAGGGGGGCGAGATTAACCTGAGCAATAACAGTTAATGGCGAGTACGGCAAATACAAGTTGTACCCAGCATAAGCAAAAAAGCATTTTTTTTATTAACCTTTTTTATTGTTTTCTCTCACGTACCCCCACGTACCCCTAGGGGTCCGCGTACCCCCATTTGAGAATCACTGTATTAAAGTGTAAATGGACAACAAACCGGAAATGAAAAGGCCTGATGGTGGTGCTAAATCAGAGCCTATTACCTGTTCTCAGCCCTATTCTCATCATGCATCTTGTGTATAGTGATCCAATACCGTTACCATAGCCTTGCCCTTTAACAGTTATTACGAGCCCTGGCTCAGCCTTACGGCCCGTCCACACAGCGGCGTGCGTTGAAGCTTCCAACGCTTCTGCCCATTCACTTTGAGTGGGGTGACGTCACTTTTAGCCGAACTGCATTTTGGGAAGCGACGTGGAGCGTTGCTGGCGTTGCTCGCTTCAAAAGTTGAGCAATGTTCAACTTTTGACGCCTCGATGGAGGCGTCAGCCAATCGAATCATACGCCAGTACAAGCTCTAGCCAATCAAACCGCGTGCTTGTGTGTCTGGGGTGGGAGATTCATGTGATTGGTTGTTGGTCGAGTGTCAGACACGCCCGCCGGCAAGCGTCAACGCACGCCGCTGTGTGGACGGGCCGTTACTCACCAAGAGCGCAGCGCCTAGCCTTCTTACAGGCAAAGTCACCGATCAAGTCCTTGAAGTCCAGCTTTCTAGCCAACTGGCTTTCAATGGACAGCATGGCAAGACTGCAAAGCATTATGGGGGGACAGGGCTGCGGAGCCTTGGCCCCGTCTCAGGTCGGTTAAATTAAATCCTTGCTTCCCTCACTTGCGTCGTTTCCCTGCGACTAGTCCCTCCCACCAGGGAAGCATGGAGAGACGCAAGGAAACCACGAGAAGCAGGGAAATGAGTTTTAAGAGCAATGGGACGTCCTTTCCTCCGGAGCGTCACGTGAAGCGACGTCCGTTTGTGATGACGCTGCACAGCTGATCGTCTGACAGCAGCTCTGTCCCCGTTATTTTCACAAACACCCCCGCCTCTGTTAGTACACATTTACTGACACAAACATTTGTATCATCTGTTGTAGAACCAAATACATTAAATCAAATAAGAACTCATTCTCAAAAAAGATAAACGCCATTCTTAAAATGTATAAACGAACAATAGTTGGATTAATATTGATTAGAGTGCACAATAGAAATAAAATAATTGAGAGAAGAAAAAGAGATATGTTATCTATCAAAACCCAGTTAGATTAACATTCATTGGATTGCACACTTTGTTTGTTTGTGTGGATATGTAGCACATTAACATTTTAAATAGCACTTAATGACTGACTGAATGGAAATGACAATAAATGAAAATATAAAACGA